AACAGTGATTTTCCACCCCAAAACGAGCTGTGGGGCTCTCAGGGCAGGAGACGAGAAGCTCGTTCCGCCATCACATCCCCACCACCCAGCAGATCTTGGCAGCCCCTCTGCTCCGCTCCCGCCCGTCCCCGGCTCGGCCGGCTGCTCCAGCCCCAGCCCTTGCTCAGCATCGGGAGCGGTGCTGCGAACGCTCGGATTCCAGGCAAGAAGTTCCCAGTCTCCTTTGCCTTTTAAGGAAACATCTGAGTGGGTTTGAGGGTTACAAATGCTAACAAGCAATGGCAATGCTCATTTTAGTCTATTTAGAGGAAACGGGAAGGCATTTCAGTTCATCAAAACACTGGTGATTAATCAGCCAAGTACCAGGCTGTTTTCATTAGGCTTATTTTTAAAGGTCTGACACGCTGTGTAAAAATATTCCCCTAATAATCGTGCTCGCGGCAGATGGAGTTGCACAGGAGGGGGTGCAGCAGCACTGGTTTCTAGGTATCCAAGGTAAATATGTCAGCGTGGCGGAGAGGAGCGAGCAGGCAGGACTCAAGATGGCAATGGAGAGGGTACGGGGCTGGCAGTGGCCGCTGCGGATGGAGACAGCCTGGCTGGTGGCCTGGGCTGCAGGAGAAGGTGCGCTGGTGGCTGCGGGCACAGCCAGGGTTTCAAGACCAAGGGGAAGGATGCGTTCCTCTCTCCTCTTCTGCATCGTCCTGCCAGTCAGCTCCTCTGCCGAGCTCCGGCTGGAGCAATGTGCTTGATTTCCAGCCCGGAGGTGAGCACTTCTGCACCATCAGCAGTGAGCAGAGCGCGGGCCGGTGTCACCACCTGGGGCTGGCACCTGCGGTGGAGCTGCAGTGGTGGGACAGACAGAGAGCCCGGGGATGGGCGCGAAGGCTGGAGGGGCCAAGAGCAGCTCCTGACCTGGCTTCAGAGATGTCCCCAGTCTCCACGATGGAGCGTCTCGTGCAGGCAGTGGCAGATGGCTGACGGTGACCCTTAGTTTGAGAAACACGGATCTGATTTCTTGCCTGGAAGTTTTTGCTCCCGATTCCTCCCCTTCTGCTGCTGCTGCTGGAGCCGGGCGCTTGCAGAGGGCTTTTCCCAGCCGCGCCAGGGGTGCCACGATCACGGCAGGCGTTGGGTTAAAGCAC